AGTAAACTCACAGTGCTTTTTTAAATGAGAAAGTTTGAAACTCGGGTAAAAAAAAAATATATACTTACATGCATATATATATGGGTTTAATGTTTAATGGCCTCAATTGCTAACATACTCATTAACGGGTTTTATTCTTATTTTATTCAGGGCGTGAACTAGCGGCAATAGCTACTGATATAAGACTGAATAATTTTCTGAAAATTGGCAAAGTTTTAGGAAATTCGAAAATCAAGCTTCGGGGGTTTTCAAATGCACAGATCATGTGCATATGTGTATGAGTTTTCTGATTAAGGAATAAACATTTTTGCCACATTAGGGTGGTCCAAAATTGCATGTGGAAAAAGTAAAGTCGGAATTTATGGTTCTATAAAAAAATATACCCCTGTTTTATTTTGAAATCAAAAAATATTTAGAGGTTTAGAAAGACAACTTTTCTTGGAAATAAACAATTGGGTATTATTATCAGAAATCTCCTAAAGTGAATCAGAGTTTTTCGATCGAAAAATATTGACTTTAAAGAATTCTATACCATTTCTACTAAAAATGGTTTTTGCCCTTATAAATAAATGCAATCCTAGGGGCTGAGAGCATTAAAATTCCGACTTTACTTACTTTGGACCAGCCTAATGTACGCTGTCACCAATATATAATTAAATCAATTAAAAATAAATGTGCATACATGTGTGCTGTCGAATTCGCCACTTTTCAAACTGCAGTTTGTTGTTTTTGTTAGTTGTATTAGTGTTAAGATGGTTAACATAAACGCAATTTCTTCAATTGGTTATATTTGTTTGTTTTGCATTTTTTAATTTCGTTCTTTGCTTAAAGTTGGAATACGTACAAGTAGTTGTTGCTTTTTTGTTCATTTTAGTTTGTAAGTACAAGTTAGTATAAGTTTTTTTTTTTTTGTGTGTGTTTTTTAAGTTTTACCTACATACATAGATACAAATATATGCGTACTGTATATTACAATTGTTTAGAATTTGTATTGCAAAGCAGTGTACTAAGCCTATGCTTTTCCATTTTCTAAGTATTTACGCGCGAAAGCAAGGACACTACTCACTCTCCCATCACTCGATCACTCGCTAAATGTCATCCATCATCACCGCCTGCTTGCTGCGAGTGTGAGCGCGGCTTTGTTTTGTGCAGCGTTAATCGCTTTTAAAATTTAGCCATTTTACGATGAGATTGACTCTCGAGTTTTAGTTTAGGTTTTCGCACCTGCATATTTTTTGTATTTCTTTAATTTTTTATTACTTTGTTACTCTACTAAATTTGGTGTTGATTGTTGTTTGACTTGTAGTTTTCAGTAGGTTGTATAGTTGTAGCTTTGTTGACTGACTTGCTTTCGGGTTTTTTTTTGTTTTTGACTTTCTCGTTTTTTTTTACCGAGAGTACTTTGTAATTCCTTTGCTTAATGTGTAGCTAACCTCACTAATGGTTCCCAGTTGCTTACGTCACACCATTGACTTGCTTTTACTTGCTTGTTGTTCCTTGATATTTCGTCGATTAGATGAACTTAGATGAAACTCAGAGATGATAATAAACATTCAAAATAAAAAGCAATACTGATGTTAACGTAAATGAACGTAGGAATTGTAGAAAAAAATCACAATAACGTAATGGCAAAAAATTACGATAATTGAAATGTGCATTTTGAGTATGTTTGAATATGTCTTTTTGTTACGCATTTGCCAAGTGATGATGAATTGTGTACGAACTCTTTGCGTAACCAACGGCAGTGCACAAATGTTGAAATATTAAGAAAAAAGTGGCACACATGTAAGTTATCAGTGAAAATGGTGGAAAATGCTTTAAGATAATGTTATAAATATATGAAGCACAAGATGTATCTACTATACATACATACATATTTTCTATTATGCATACATACATACCTACCTCCCCCGAATTTGTTGGTGTGAAGTTAATGGTTTATTGAAATGTTTGATGCGCGCTATGGCGGTGCGTGTACTACGAAATCGTGGTGAAGTCGTAAGGCCGTGAGGCGGTGTTCAAAGCTGTTTTTATTTATTTATCCTTTTTTTTGTTTCTTAGCTTTTCGATAGTGAAATGAGAGTGCAAAAGTGCTGATCGAATAAATCGCATGGGATGTATGGGGAGTGAGTGGAAATAGGTGCATATGAATGTGCTTTATGCTACTGAGTACATATTTTCTCTAACAAAATTTGTAAGCAATATGTCGATCACCAATATATTGTATATGTATGCGTAATTTTGAGATGGTTTTTGAAGTAGTATGTAATAATTTTATTTTTTTGGTAAATAAACGATTTTATCGAATTGTAGTCGAACGTTTTAGAGCAGTATGTTTTGGTAGCTTATAAATATACACATATGTATAGTTAAAAATGAAATATGTACTAAATAAAATAGTGAAGTTATAATGAAAACGAAATTGAAATATTACGGAATTTAAAATAAAAAGTGACGCTAAAGAGCAAGGCAACAGAAGAAAACTTTTCATCAGAAGAATTTCCTTAAATCAAGAAACCCTCAAAATTCTCGCCACTCTGAACTGAAAAATTTTGAATTTTCTGTTAAAAAAAGTCTCCCATCAAAATAATAATAATAATAATAATAATAACGCATTGTGCAGTCAATAAATTTAAAAACACCAACAATTTTTTTTCGCACTTTAAAACTTGCTGGAAAAACATTTTTTTCGAACTTTAAAATTTGCGGACAACTTTTTTTCTAACTTTCTCTTGAAAACAAAAATTTTCCTATGATAAATTCATGCATACACAAAATCATGACCATAGTATTTTTGCGCAGAAAACGATTAAGCGTTGGCAGTCTTCGGCCCCGCTTCAAAAAATAGCCCTTAACAGTCCAACTCTGGAGAGAACAAACCATACGCGTTCAAATTTCCTAATTGGTTAATAGATATTAGTCTTATGCACAACCATTTACAATAATAAATATGTAGATACATAAAAAATATTGATTTGTGAAAAATTTTAGAAAATGAAGTGCTACTCAGAGCCAATATTGAATAAGAAATTGGATTCATATATTTAATATTTATTTGAAACTACATAAGTACAAAGAAATAAAAATAAAATATATGAAACTAAAATTAAATAAAAAACTTTTTAGAATCAAAATAAAACGATATTTTTCGTGTTTCAAACAATGAAATTTGAGCTTACGGGACTTGTTTTTTTTAGACACACAAAAGAACGCTATTCTTTCATCGAAGGCTTTAACTAAATAATCGGCTTGAGCGCCGAAAGACATAACGCCTGAAAAGCTTGTAGATTACAGCAGTTGTTTTTAACTTCGCTAACGTCTCATAAAGCCTAATTTGCTATATTTTATTTACCGTATATCTATTTGGCATGAATTCATTTAGTTAGAGGCCGCTAATATGAAAGAAAATAATCAGCAAAATCATATTTTGCTCTCCATTCCTCTTCCTGCTTCTTCTCGGATACACTTGTCTCTTCTGCTTAGGTGATCTTTAAAAGTTGGATCAGAATTGGCAAAGTCAGGCATAGTGATGTTTTAGCAACAATGGTGGGTATATACTTATCTTGTCAATTTTAGAACGGATCTTTAAAGCAACGAAAGCGCCCGCTTGAAATTAAAGTTTGAACTCAACACCAAAATTTTCAAGCTCAGCACCGAGTTGAGTTAGTGAGCTGACTCCTAGCAAAGAGCCGCACGCTCAGACTCACTTTCCGAAAAAATTGTGACGCTGTAGTTCAGTTATTTTTTTTGACCAGTGAGTCAATTGCTTGAGTCCTAACTCAGAATTAATAGTAAAAGTAAAGAAGAAGAAAGAATAAAATATGTGGAAAATGTTGACTGAAACCGCGACTTAATTGAAAAGCCAAGAAAATGAGTTATAATTTAGTTATGATACCTCACTGAGTTGACTTAAAAAACTGAGCTAGAGTCATTGGTCAAATAGCGGAAATTGGCTAAGTCACCTACACCTGCCTTCCATTTTATAAGCATACAACTGAGTCGCTTGTTGAAAGCCTGAAAAGCTGTGTAACCGAAAACTATGTCATTGCCTTCCGAAAGCACTATAAAAAGTCATATTTGAGCTCAAAAAGTTTTCGTTTCAACAGGTAATAAAAACGTCAAAAGCTGGCAATGTTAATTTCCCGCAAGAATGTCATAATTATAAAAAAAAATGTTTTTATCGATGTTTGCCCATTAAGATATCTCATAAGAATATCCTTATTTTGTCTTTTTTGCAATTTTACTACCTTAAATTTTGTTAAGGGACAACTGAAGCAATTACAGTTTGATCACAAGGTAAGCAACTCGCTAATAGCTTTATACTCAGCAATAAAATTTCCCATTATCTTTATGAATTAAAATTTTTTATTTATTATTTTATTTGAAAGGAAAAACTTTACTAAAAATTTAGAAGCCGTTTTTCTTGAGTTATGAAATTTTGTACAGCGAACGAACGGCGAGTTCTTCAAAGATAAGTACAGAACGAACTAGATAATTTCTCTGAACAAAAATTTAATAGTCATGAAAACATTTTCGATTTTTCACAACAGCATATTCTGTGTAGGTGTGCAGGCGATCTCTTGTGTGTCTCTTATTTACTTAAGATTTCTTAGCAATAATCTTGATGTATTTAAACATATACATATATATGTGTATGTCCTTATAAATAATTCCGCACAACAACAAATATGTAATATATAAAATAATAACAACATAAAATTTCTTAAAAAGCTATGGTTACACAGCTACAATCCACTTTTTTTCTCTGGAAAAGTTCATACATAACTAGATTTTATTGTAAATATTTATACGATTTAACTTTAAAAGTTAAGCTACAAGGTAGGTCTTTCTATATGGGAGAGCATGCAAGTGCAGTCAAGAATAAATGGCAAAAATATCTAAATATTTAAAGATGATTTTAAAATTAAAATAAATTTTTGTTTAACTAAATAAATAATATACTTAAGCAAAAAATTTAATTTGTAAATATTTTTTATTTAAATTAATAAAAATAAAAATAAATACAGGTTATAAATATTTTTTAGAAAAATTTATCAAGAAGTTAGAGGAGTTTGACGGAATGGTGTGGGAAGCAATCTTTAAACCATTTGAACGATGGATTTTACTCTACTGATCCAATGAATCAGTTTTGTGTATATATTTTTTTTTATTGGAGTTTTATTTTATATTTGCAAAGACATTTGCTTTAAATCGATATAAAATTGTTTAAGTAGTTTGGTCTCATTCCTCATTTTGTTATGTAGAATACCATTGAGGTTCGCTTGTGCGAATGTCTGTGCAAATATAAACGTACAAAATAGCGCATTTACTTGGTCTGCCAAGTACTACATACAATTGTTATTTTTTCCATATAGGTAATTTTCTTTTCCAATTCACAATCAGTTTTCTTTGGCGATACTACTTAGAACACGAACTTTCCGTTGTGTTATCTAATACTTTTTGTTTGATACATTTTGCATTGCCTTTAGAAATTTTTGCCATATTTTGCCGATTATTAATTGCCAGAAATGCGCTATTTTGTACCCGATCGTTTGCTCCATTGTTCAAATGTACGAGTAAGGACCATCAGTTAAGGCGCTACACAGTAACAATCAAGAGTTATCATCCTTGTTTGAACCACCCCCACCGACCCCGGAGCCTTGTGTGTTGGCAGCACGACCGCCAGCTGGCGCACGCACAGCGGCCGGTTTATACTCTAAGCCCGGATCGAATTGCATTAATACGAAAACCTGAAATATAAAGAAAGATTATTAAGTTTTGAATAAATAGTTGGGAGCAAAAATGGGAAAGTAAGAAAGAAATATTAACGACAAAGCATTAAAGTTGTATAGTTTTACTTAAAATATGTAAAAAATTGAAGATAGATATCGATTGCCCCTTCGGTTTTATATTTCTTCATTGGTGAAAAATTCTTATAGAATGGGTTTTTATTGCCAAGTGCCTGGCAGAGTTTCTCCTATTTACCTTAAGCTGCATTTACATGAGGCGGCCTTCTAGGCGATTCATCATTGTTCAACAAAAATCGCTCGTATAAATGGTGTTTCAAAAATCGCTGGCCTCAATGTAGACAGCAAGTGAACTTTTGGAGGCGCTTATCGCCCGTCAACAAATCGCCTCATGTAAATGCATATTACCAGGTTGACCGAGCTTTGCCCGGTGTGCATATACTTTTTAAACTTTTCAAGGTTTGTATATCAAAGACTGGTCATTTGGAAAGCTTTGAAAAAATATGTTTGAAAAAAAAATGAATTTCGATATCTATCTATTTCTTACTAAAAAATTTAGGTGGTAACACTGATCGAAAATATTTTCTCACCGAAGTCCTCAACAATACCTTTCATTTGGTATCCATATTGCGATGTTTTAGATAAATTGTGCAGAATCGAAAGAAAGTGGCAACCTTACACTACTATCACAAGGAATACAATTTTGTATATAGGGAAAGCATTGTTTAAGAACCTTCTCTCAATAGTAATATTTTACCTATTTTTTAAACAAAAACTTAAATTAAATGCGATTCAAAATATGTGGCAACCCTGTTTAAAATATTTTTGAAATAGGGATCATTAAAATACCTTCCATTTGTTGTCCTTAGTGTAAGTGACTTGATTGTGTCACAAGTGGAAGAAATGTACTATTTTACGGCGCCTTCGAAAAACCCCAAAAATAAATATCACAAAATAACAATTACTTTTTATCGAAAAAGATAAATCCAAAAACAATGATTGTTTTTTATCGAAAAAGTAAGAAATACAAAGAAATGATTATTTTTTAGAGAAAAAATAGAAGTCCAAAACAAATTATTTTTTTTATCGAAAAATTAAAATCACAAAATAATTATTAAATTTAATCGGGAAATAAGAAATCCAATTTTCACGGTTGAATTATGACTTTCACCGTAAAGATCATAACCGCTATGTTCCCCAGGTGTAAACCATTTTGCTTATCATAGTGGTCTGACCATGGACTGAACCTAGGCTCTGCCGGGTGGTAGCGAGCACCTCTATGCACCCAGTCTTTCTTCGGTTAAATTTGATTGAAATGTATATATTTAACGAAAGCTTTGCCGATATTATCGTTATGTATGTATATCGATAACACATGCCCCATGCCTCCAGAAGGCATAGGGGCAGATATTTAGCTACCGTTATCGCCATTAGCCCGTAAGCGATATTTAACTTACATTCGAAATACCATAATGACACATTCTAATTTCAACGGACAGTCGTTAGGCGGCACTAAAGGTCACCTCTTTTCATTTGAGATTAAATTCTTTCTAGTTTTAGTGTTTATAGAAAATCTCAACTCTCTTGCTGAGTATAACCGCAGAAAAATACAGGCCAATTAGGTAGCAAATCGCCTGACGTATTCCGTGCAATAGGTTTAAATATCAATTAAAAAGGAGTGAGGAGAAGAGCTAATCCAATTTACCATTCCTAAAGACAAATTAAAAGTATTCTTTCAGGATGTTGAAAATTTGGAAGTTAAATGCAAATGCTAGAACGATGGTCCAGTTATATTCGTTGCTTTTCGATTTGGTTGAAGAGACACAGTGAGTGAGAATAGTTTAAGCGCAGTATGGCCGAAGGCAGAGCATTTTTGATCCTACTCAGACTGAAAATATTTCGGCTCTTTAAAACCGAGGGGTCTTAAAATACCTATCACACACATATGTACATAAATATATGTTTCTTCTGAAAAAAACATTTCAGAGATCGGATGCATTTCACAACGAATAACAAACAGTTTATTTTTGACTTTTTTAATTTTTTATTGTAAGCGAGGTAAACCGATTATTGTTGTGTACGAAAAGTTTGCTTTATATTATCCCGAGCAAAAAAAAAACAATGAGATTTCTTGAAAAAGATCTTGAAAAAGTATAAGAAATAGAACGGGAAGTATTCGAAAATACCCGAAGTATTTATGTGTATAAAAAATAATCGAAAAAATACCGATACAAAACATCAAGTACCCAGAAAAGTAACGAAAAAAATTTCGAGAAACACCAAAGAATTCCAAGAAAATTAAAAAAGTGCCGTAATATATCGAAAAATAGAACAATTTGTGTTCCGAAAAAAATCTTGCAACTTTGTAAAAAATCTTGAATCATTTTCGAATGGTAAAACACGAATAATCTGAAAAATCTCTGACCGGTACTGAAAATTCCTTGAAAACTTCAAAGTTTTTACTTGTACCCTCACCTCTGATAAAATTTAAACTCTCCAAAGTTGCAATACTACTTCGCATAAAGCTTGCTATTTTACTAAGTATACTAAGGCTCACCTGATCTGTTGGCAGTAGTGAAAAATCATCGGGTGGGTTCGTTATAACATAGCGCTTGCTACTCGCATCACAACTTGAACTCGTGTCCCGAAATCGGTAGAGGCCAATGCATAGCATGCCGTACGACTTGAGCGCCGCCACAAATAGATCACCATATTTGCCGCATTCACCGAATTGAGCCAATGGTCCGTCGTACAGAGATATTTGGCCAACACGACATCTAAGTATGCAAACGAAATAGATAAAAAATGAATAGAAAATATTATCCACTAAAATTCCAACCTGTCACGATTGCTAAGACTATCCACGGTGCTATAGCCGCCACGCAGACCAGCACCTTCGGCGAGTATGAGCTCCAGCTCTGGTGTAGCGCCGCCGGTGATTAGAGAGCGGATCAACGTTAAAGCGTTTTGATTAAAGTACGTCTAGAGTAAATTGAAAAATAAATGAGCAAATTAAACTGATTTAGTATGTGGGATGCAAGTTGTGTAGCCCAAAAGTTGTAGGCAGTCCCAAAAAGAGAGAGTCCAAAGAGATAGTGTTTCTGGTGTTTCATTTTTGTAACTGTTTGTTTATTTGTTTTTGTTAGTAGGTAGGGGAAGCTACTGGTATGTAGTTTAATTTAAATTACCGTCGACATCAGCGAGTCGAGAACACTAACGGCGAAGGCTGTACCGCAGGCGAACGGCTGCGTCAGATATAGTTCCGTATCCGGATCATCATCATCGTCTTGATCGAGAAACTGCACGTTACTATCGTTGACCAGTTCTTGAAACAACAACCAAAACAAAGTTTAACGCTTTGACCTTTAACTAGGCGGCGAGCGAATTGTAGAATATGGCGTGAGCAGACTAATGCGACTAATACGTTCATGACCGGGCGTATGATTGGTACAAAGTTGGCTCACAAACGACGCGTGAATGCCTTGCAATGTATTTTATTTTGGATTTTTCGCAGAAAATCTGGATCATTGCAAAGCGCTCACTACTATAAATCGTATATATTTTTCTAACTAACTACATACCTACAAATCTAGTGCTTGAGTGCATACGAAAAAATCACGCAATCAAACAAACATACAAATCAATGTGATAAGAAAATTCTTCAAACCAATATTAACTAACAAAAAAAAAAAGAAGACATCCATGTGTGTGCCAGCCAACTTTGTGCCATCCGTCACCGGCTGGATGAACGTGTCGCGCGTGATTTGGTCGTTTAATCGCAAACACAGCCAACTTAGTGCGATGCAGTTTACCTGTTATCATGGGCACATTCGCGCCGTAAACGGAGCCGCGCCGTTGCAGCACAATGGGGCTGCCAGCGGTCGCGCTCAGATTATCGAATTCGGGCCCACGTTGACTCAGTACACCGATCGTATCGTCAAAGGTCATTGCCTTGATGTTGAGCGACGCGAGAATGGCCTCCTTATCGGCCAGCGTCGGATCGTCGTTGCTAGGAACTTTCGCCGACAATATACAACACATATCGCACAGATTCACGTTAACGGCACGCAAATCGGCGCGACTCAGCGGCGAACCATTCAACACCGATATCTTTGGCAAATTCTGTAACATTTTCCATTCTCGTCGGATGTAGTCCACCGAACCGACTATCACCACATGCTTCAGTTCGTGATAGTGAAAGTTTGAGGCGCGCAGTGGCATCACCAAATTGCGCAATCCGATTAGCGGCGAATCTGGATCGGCAAAAAGGCATACGACAACATGACCATTTAGAACGGTCATTGCCGCTTGATTGCGATCCTGATGGCAAAAGTAAGGGCGGAAATAAAAAAAAATATATGTACATACATTTGAATTATAGTTTTTCGTAATTAAATGATGCAATTTTGTTACGCTCACCAGTATGCAGTCTTCTAGATTCTTAGCCGGACTCCAGTGGAACATACCCGTCGAATCGTACTTCATTTCGGTCTTTTCAAAATCGAAATCCTTCGATTGATCATCCGCAATACCGGCCGGTAGTGTGACGCCACCGTTTTGGTTTTGTGTACCAGTGCCGGAACTCCGGCTAGTTGGCCTGAGCGCAGCAAATTAGAGAAAAGTCGAGATATAAAGATAATTAAATATACATAGGTAAATAGCGCGAACAAATATCCAACCGCAGTGCAATACTACTATACTCATGTAAGTAAATATATAGCTAGGTATGTATGTATGCATATGAATGAATGCTTACAAATAACCACAAATTAGTAAGAAGTTATTTTTTTTTGTTTTGACATTAATACTTATGGAATAAAACGAATCATGGGATCGGACAAACGTACGTATTGATGTATGATTATTTGTGCCGTATATGTAGTTGTGCTCAGTCATAACAAGAAAATGCACTCTGAAGTATGTATGTATGTATGTAAATATTATTAGTTGTTTTTAATTTAGACGTTTTTTTTTTTTAATGTTTCAAAACAAAACTATTGGATGCTACGAGTTGATGTTTTGAAATGCTTATGCGTGTTTTCACTGGGAAAATGTTATCGATTGTTTGGTTACCGTTGAGTGCTTAGCGCGAGGATTTGATGTGAGTTTGAGTTGTTTTGTAACTTGAAAATGAGCATATAAATCCAATTACAATTAGAAATAAAATGTGCATAAATTAATTAACGTAATTTCCCATTTCCCTATTAAAGAGATTCTAAGTAACATTGCTACGCGTATTGGACCCGAAAGCTCAAAACTTTTAAGAATTGAGTTTTGGCTCTTTGACGGCCCAATTCACTTTTTCCCAAACTTCTTCGAGTCCATTCGTGGTACTTTGCAATGCGAATAAAAGCAAAAATATTTAAAATAGAGTTAAAATTTGTATACGTGACAACGCAAACATCGTTATCGATAAAGAGAAAGTAATACATATCGATATCTGGTTCTCGCTATATTTATTTTTAATTGTTATCGAATGTTAAAATTTCAGGAAAAATTTGAGAAAAATATTGAGACCTTTGTCGACATGCCTATCGAAATCAATGTATTAATCAATATACATACATAAGTATTGATCAATTTACAAATAAATATATTTAATAATGTTGTTATTATTTGCTAAAATTTCAGGAAAAATCTAATTTTTAAAAAGTTATCGAAATTCCCTACGAGAGAAATTTATATATAAATATGTATTTAAATGTTAATTGATACCTTTGTCGACATGCCTATCCAAACCAATGCACTGATCGATATCTATACATAAACATTGATAAATTTACCGCTGATATATTTTTCGCCAGAATTTAAGTCTTATTTATTTTTATAATTGCCGATTTAATTATCGATAAATATATTTATAGACTGCTTAAATGTGAGGAGATTCACTAAGTTATGGATACTGAAGGTTATATTCGTATTCCTACTCCCTATGATATTTATAATCAAATAAAATAAAATTAAAAATATTAAGCATATGAAAATATAGCCAATGAGAGACTAAAAATATTAATTTAGTTTAAAAAATACACAAAAATATATAAAAATATAAATTTTAGTTAAAAGTCGTATATATATTATGTATGTAAATATGTATGAAGAAGATAGCATGTCTGTATTTATGTCGAAAGAAGTCAGTTGTGCGCATCAAAATGAGCATTTTTTCGTCCGTTCAATCTACATGTGAAGTGAATGTTTTCCGCTTTGCTCATATTATATGTAGTTGTGCCTTTCATATGTATGTATGTACATATAATAGATTTCAAAATCTATATCAATCTATCTAAGTATAGAAAAATACAATTTATGAGAATAAGCGAAGCTTAATACAAAGACTGTCTAAGCTGCACGCTTATGGTACAAATAACAATGGGGTTAAAAGCGACTTCAAATTAGTAAAACAAATATTTCATTAAAATATCTTTTGAACTCGAGAGATCGACTGGCAGATATGCCAAAGGTAGGACTTTCAAGTCTCCGCGATTTCATTTGAGAACGCTAGTGGTTTAGTGTAACAAAATAATTATTAGGGTGAGAATCCTCTGTCATATCAACGGACGCGAAATTATTTTTATTTTATTTATTTATAGAAAAGAAATTTTTGAAAAAAAGTCCCTTAAGTATGAAATTATTTCTACACGAATAGCAAGGTTTTAGAACCTACATACATTTTTGGTAAACAAAATATTAATTTGACGTTTTTCGGTTAACACATCTTAAAGGCAATAACCTTAGAGATTGCTTAGTATTTGGAGTGATGGTTTTGAATGTTTTTACTAACAAATCAATCTAACAAATGCTATTTGCTGTGTATGTCATTGTACTTTTAACTGTTTATTATGATCAGTACGCAATAAAAAATTTTTAATGTCTGAATGACGTAATCAGTTGTATTTATGTGGTAATTCAGAGTAATGAGAATGCACATCAAATGCATTTAATGTTGCTGAGATTGTGCAAAATGAGTATCAAAGTGTTTAATGGGCCATGTACAGATACAGATACATATACATACATAGAGAGAGAGAGAGAGAGATACAGGTAAACATTTAATATAAATTGTTTAGATGCTTATTTTAAATGCCACACTCAATTGATATCTATACATAAATACATAGATTAAGGAAGACAAGAATTATAAAAAAAAAAACAACTACAACGACACATATGTAACAATTTTAATAATTCAAGGCAAATTATGCAATGCAATGCAAAATTAATTAAAATTAGATTTATGAGTAAAAAAAAACACATTTTAAATATTGAATGTCAATAATAATGATTTAAAAACGCTGCTTGTTAATGTGAACAAGCACGTATGTATGTATGTAGTTACTGAATGTGTGGAGAAAGCAAACCAAAGCGAGTCGAGTTTGAAGTGATAGTGAATTGAAGTAGAGGAACCAAAAGACCAGCATGCTCGAAGTACATATATGTATTTAGCAACGTCTGTAGGCAGACCTTGGACCTTATTCGAATGAATTGTTATTTGGATTATTATTCGAGTAAAATTTATCCGTAATATAATTACTAGCAAATAATTCCTTATCAATAATTTTATAGCGATTTTATTTGTTATTTGAAATAACTCGGGCAACTCTGGCTAAGAAGTCTTTCGTAAAACAAATGGAATACAGATGGCAAGATAGTTCGAAAGACTTTTGTTATTCTAGCACAACAGTCGTAAAAAAATAGCTCGTGGTGAAAGCTATTTTGAGAGAAAGCACCGCGTAAGTCCAACAGTCATACAATTGCAGTAGTCGAGTGGGCAAAGCACAGGCGTGCCAATATAAGTAGATATCCGAGTTCGAGTCTTGGCGCAGGGCAATTGTTTTTTTCTTTTTTAATCTACATTTTTATAATAATTTTTGTGATTTTTTCATTTTTAAAAGGAAATACATATATGTATATTTTTTAATGCAATTTAATTTTTATAAACTCTTAAGTTTCTTTGTTAAAATTAAATTAAAATTTTTGTAATTTTAAGGAATTTATTTTATTTAGTTTTTTATAAAAACGAGTTTCATTTAGGCACTTTTTAGAAATGATTTATTTTTTTTTTTAATTTAATTTGTCACTATTTTTTTAAATGAATTTCTTTTAATTTTTGGATTTGATTGCTTTAAAAAGAAAAATATGTTTTTTATTTCATTTAAATTTTCTTAATTGTTTTTTCCTTCTTTTTTAAATATAAATAGTGTTAATAGAATTTAATTCTTAACTTCTATTCCCTTCTGGTTTGACAATTTTCTTCCTTTTTTAATTTAATTTTCTTTTATTTATAAGTTTTTTGTTTTAAAAAGGAAAATATGTATATATGTTTTTTTTTTTAACTAAATTTAATTTGTAAAAAACTTATTGTTAAAAGGCGAACTCTTTAACGTTAGCAGATCTTTCAATTAGTCTTTCGAAAGACAGTAAAGAGCTTTCAAGATAGTTGCCAGAATTGAAAATTTTCTTAAGAAAGACTTCTGCCTTCGAAAGACTGTGGTGAGCTGAAAGACAGTGGCCAGAATTGCCCCGTGAATCAAATATTATTTACTATTAACGAAAATCCCTATTAATTTATTGGTTAATCACCATTTAAATAAATTTTGCCCAACTCTGTCTGTAGGTAACTTTGTATGCTATGAGCAGGGACTTGGCTTCACTTGGCATTTCCAATTGGCGTCAGTTGGCACACTAGTGGTGTACTTTATTGAGCTCGGACAAAATCGCTTAGAGCACCGTAACGCAGACGATCATATGATCTCTGGTCACCAATTGTTGTTGCTTTCTCTAGCGGGTGTTTGCTGGTCATTCAGTTCAGTTCTCTCTCTCTGACACAAAATTTTCATTGTGCAGTGAAACCAACAACAGTTGGTGACCAGAGATCATATAATCGTTTGAGTAACAGCGCCCTTAGGCGGTTATAGTGTGAAACGATAAGAAGATGGGCAGTAACATTTATTGTATGTATTTTTGTGAAGATGAACCAGTCGGCAGAGTAAGTAATATAGAGGCCCTCACGCAGTTATTATTGATGTTTTGAAGCAAATTCTTTTATTATTTATTGTGTTACCACTTAATAGATTTTCCAGTCCGCTCCGAAGAATATAACATGCGTTCTTATTGGAAGTGCACAGCCAGACTTGCTCTTAGAACCGATAGTTGGGTTTTAGCCAGCTGAAGAAACTTTTTTGAACGCGGGCTTTTGATCGACTACAACACAGAAGAACTTCGCGGTTTTCAACCAAAGCTTACTGACACTAAAAGCCTATCTGCGCAGAAACAGCCCGCAGGTTGCCACAAGAAATTCTCTGCTACTAGCCAATACATCTGCCATGCAGTTTGCTGCAATTTTACTGCGCCCTGAACCCAAAATCAACCTGGTTTGACGGTAATCCTAGTTGACCGAGGGAGAGGTGACAAACTGCAGCATAGCTTTTCTAAAGTCCTGATTGCCACCTGGCTTTCCGAGTATACATCATATCTATTAAACTGGTACGTAGTCAGTCGACTGCTTCCTTTATAGTTACCATATCTGCTTGAAATACGCTGCAGAAATCGAGAAGCCTTCTTTTGATATTAACGCAGAGTTTCTAGCAGTCCAACTTCAACTCTGCAATCAATTCCGATCCATCCGTGAATATGTTTACTCCACACCTCTATTTCAAAGAATGTAACTCTACCGCTAACCTCTGATAAGCATATGTATAGAAAAGGATCCAATCGGAGTCAGCCTGCTACGCACTTGCCCGTTTCGCCTGGCATCAAGTCGAAGCTTTATAAGGTCGCCGAGTGCCGGATTTTAACATAAACCAGTGTTTCCGGCGAAGCAGATGGCGGCACTCTTACCGGCATTCTCCACAGGTACAACGCTAAGCATAGTGATAGAGTACGCTTCTTGCATGCGATTTAACTTCTTAACTAAAATAGACTACCTTTGAAGAAATGCCCCACCCCTTCCTTATGCCGTTTTTATAGCTGATGTCATATTTTACTCGCTTGTCAGTAGTTGAATAGCCTCGTTTCCAGGATCACGCTCTAATACTTGTACTTTTCAGAGACCAAGAGTGGAACGTCACCAATATGGGGAGTTAGGCTTTAGACACTTTATATTGTATCTCCTGGTGTAAGAAATAGGATGGCGATCTTTCCATAATTAGACAACGAGTGCCATCTCGTCAGACTAGTCCATAATCCGACAGTCTTTCTTTTCCAGCTACTCCAGGGCATTGCTGACGAGGCCATATAGAGAAAAGATGAGATAACGGCCCCTTATGGGATATATATACGCATTCTAGGCCATAGGGAGACCCAGTTCTTCCGTTGAACATGCGGTATATAGGCCTTGCCAAGTTATGGTCGACTACAATATAAATGAAGGAGTTTATTATCGCTTGCCATGCAAGGGGAAAATTACACAAAAAGACACAGCAGAAATTCGACTTGATACCAGACGCGCTCCGACGCGCCTATTACGGTTTTTTGATTAGATTTGACTTTCATGGACTTTGGAAACACGACTTCTAATCTGCCTTTGAAACTAGAGTCTATTCGAAGATCTTGTAAACATCGATTTCTTATTAACAGTCGCTCTAAAACGTCCGTCGACGGCGGCTAGTTTTTGCGAGTCGTTTTCTTATTACCTGAATGAGTCGTTTTCTTATCGCTTTATTATTGCAACATGTGACATTTGAGCAAGAGTTATGTGGAACAAGTTTATTATTTTTAATATATCATTTATTTTAGAATGCCTAATTATAATTTAAAACCGAAATTAATTAGTTCACTCGCCATGGCGCTTCCTGCTTTTTTCATTCGGAATTCGTCAGCTTGAAATTATGTTGCCGATTTGTTGCCTATTTCTCACGTTTTTTATGGTGGGGCTCTTAAATATGCCGACTGGGGAAGTATGTACAGATGTACATATGTATTTAAGTACGAGTAAAATACAACAATTATTTAGGTTTCAAAACAACAAAAATGGTATTGAAAAAATCAGGGATGGTAATCATTATATGCAAAATAACTTAAATCAGCTTTAATCATTATTTTATAATTTTTATTTTTTGCAAAAAAAAAATTATTATACATAAGTTGATTTTACTTTTCTTCGTTCCGAGGTAAAAATTATTATTGGGTTTTATTTTTCCACTTAAATTTTTTTTTTTTGTATAAAAGCTTAAAGGCCGTGGAGACGGCATACACTGAAACTGGCCTGAACATTTTGACACTTATTCCTCCTATTCAATTTTGAGTTTTTTCAATACGACACTTCATATTAAGTGAAAAAATAAAACTCAATACAATTATAACATTGGAGCGAAAAAATAAAAATCATAAAATATCCATATGATTTTTTTAAAATAAATAAAAAAAACAATGATTATATTGCGTCGCTGGCAAAAATTTACAACATACATGGCAATAGTAAATATTGCCTTTTTCCCAGACAAAAATTATCATTGAAAATATTTTAAGTGTATGAAAAAACTTGCAAAATGTGAATTGTGACCGTGCACATACAAGTATTTGTACATTGTACGAGTATCTACATATGTATGTATGTATGCGAATATTGTCGATGAAATTACATACATACTTCACATCAAATTGTATAGCAAAATACATTCAAATATATCACAAAAACTATGTATGCATGTACATGTGTAGTAACAAAATTTACATGTATGATTGCTTGTTTTAAGCAGACAACAACATACAAAACACGATAGTTATTCAAATGGTTGCAAATACGTAAGTATGTAATAAAAGGAGTAGAAAAGTAGTAGAATAGTAGTGACAAACAACTACATATTGTGTGAAATTTTAAGTTAAGGCATTAGAATATTTTTTGTTTTTTATTAGTTTAGAATGGGCGCATACATGAGCTTTTTAACTTCGTAAGCGAGTTGATAGCCCGCATATGGGTTAGCATCGTTTTCTGGCGGCCTGAAACAAAATTTTCATTAAGAATTTTTATTGCATGTTATTTTTTGTTGTTTTTGTTATTGATATTATTTGGATTTGACATAGCTTAGAAACATATACATATGCATAATTATTAGTAGAGAAACATATTTCAGATTTAGTGACAAAGAGCAAGTAAGTATATTTATAACACATTTGTTTGGTATTTTTTTTTATTAGATACAATTAGTAAGCTGCATATTTTACAAACGCTTGCTGTTAAATATTTATAATTAAAACACACACAAAAAAAAAAACCAATTGTAAATGAATTTTGTTTTAGAATTTGGACGGAAAAATGCGTGAAATGAACTTGTCGATGATTTGGCAGAAAATAGCGCAAAATATGAAGAAAATCACTGACTGAAATCACCTACAAGGTTTAAAATTAAATTAACTTAACTATATTTATAAGAGACTGTTACTAGAAAAAAAAGAAGAATATTCTATACCATTGCCATTTATTTGATTCAAAAATCTCTCGCATGGAAAGCAGCTAAACTAATATTTTTGATATACATACATATCCATTTAATTCCATAATAAGTATGTAACTAGAAGCTTGCGCTAGTTATTGAAACTGTTTCTACAGCTCTATTTCTTTAAATATATTTTTTTGCTTTCTAAGGCTTGTTTCCACTATGCCTTAACTTTCTGCAGCAACTTTTTTTTCAAGAGCGTAAGTAAATCGACCCGAAAGTGATATGTATATACAGTGACACAAACAAGCGGTTCACATGGCTATTTTTTACTGAATATTCACAATGTTTTTCAGGCAAAAATTTTTGTTGTAATTTTTTATAAATGCTTTAACCAGAACCACATATAAGTAGTAAATGAAAGTTTCAAACTTAATACAAAATTAGGAAAAATTTTACACATGTTCATCAAAATTTGAAACATTTTAACTTAAATTTGTATAAAATTTCGGTTATGTTACTTTTCGGTTATACTCAATAAAAAGGCAAGTTGGAAGCGGCTAAAAATTCGTATTGGTTTTACAAACTTTGCGGATGGTTCTAGAACTTTTTTCCCATATGAAAAGGAACCGGCGGCCGCTGCACAGTGGCTCAAAAATGGCATTTACTGTTTATAATTCACTGGAGCCTTCATTTTTACTCAATAAAATATATATATTTTTAATGAAAGTCTATAAAAGTAGCAAGAGACCAAATGAACTTTTATGGATCATTAAATTAGTACAATAAAGTGCAAGTGGCTAAGAGCTCGCGTTGATTTTTAATAATATATATAAAAAGAATATAAACAATACGAGACAAAAAAAAAACACAAAGCTGTTATTTCCCATTTCGCATACAGATGTGCTCGAAATTTTTGTGAAAAAAATTATAAACTACCAACGCACGCACTTACCAACTAGCTAGCTTTAATAATACATATATAAAACTGCACCCACAAATTTTTTCTAAAAACTAAAAAAAAAAATTTATTTTGGTGAACATTTTTCCTATACCATTTTTTGATAATTCCTTCCATATCAAACAAATTGCAACTTTATATGGAAGAAAATGTGTGACGCAGGCAGCAAGTGATTAAAAAAAAATCAACGCTATTTTGTAGACGCTTCGAAGTAGAAATTTGTCGTTGTACAATTTTATTGAATTTTTTAAATTTTTGCACAAAGTTAGAAATTGGATTTATATGGCTTTTGTTAGACATATCAATTTTCTTCCTTTATGTTATTGAAAAACTATTTAAAAAAATTCGGTATTGTAAAAATGCTTGTAAATATAGAAATGGAATTTTTTCCTAGTAATATACAGCATTAAGGATGAACAATATTAAAAAAAAAATTAAATGTTTAATATTTAAAAAATCACCATATGATCGCTTTTTGAAGTCACTGTATGTGTACAGTCAGCGTCAAAAATATGAACACAATGACGCCAATCTCTATCACTCTTGGCTAGAATACAATTAAAAATGCCGAAAATTTGCAGAAAACCTACAGTGGTTTATTTATCCACCGATTCTTATCGATAGTAGCTTGATTTTTTTTCTCAAAAGAATAGGCTTTAATACAAATTATAAAAAATTATAAAAGATTTGTTATTTTATTAATTTTTTTTTCTTATTAAAATTTAAAATTTTTTCACGAAAATGAAAATATCTTGGGAAAACTACCGGCGTGGGAAAACGGTATACAGATCCATAATCTACGACCCAACATTAAGTTGACATGTTTAGGCATTTTTGGTGTCATTCTAAAAATTGAGATTTTTCCTACAATGTTATTAGAATGTAGCTGATAACATTTTTCCCAAAAAGAGGAATGCTGCACCTCCATCGCCCTTTTTCTCTTTCTAAAGTTAACCTCCAAAATAAACCCAAACATGTGTTTTAATTTATTCGCTCAAGGCCAAAATTTTGAAAAAAAAAACTATTGTTTGTGCTAGGAGGTAATTAAAAAAAATACTTTTAGCTTGTCCATACAACTGTTATTTGCAGTTGAAAATGTGAATAATGCAACATTGGCACCAACTCACACTGTGCCTAAGCCTGCGTACGTTGATTTTTCTTCAACTGTCGGAATTCGGCATTATTTAAATTTTCCATAGTAAAAACAAGCTTTGAAATGGCTGAAGGCTTAAAAGCTTATGATCTACATTTATATAAAACCTTCACTTTAATAAATACAGCACGTTGGATTTAGAGGTTTTTTTTTTATTTGCATATGTTTTAAGCATTATACTTGCACCATATGTACCTATGTACGCAGCTTGTATAATTTTTCAAACTAATATTTTTTTTTTTCTTTTTTGCTTTCATTTCATTATTTTCATTACTCACCTATTGTACTGTGAGGGTGATATAACCTGACCTTCAACCTGTTGTCGGTTAATTGTTGGCTTCACTTTGTTAACTTGTTTCGCTGCTATGGAGTTCATATGCATCCCTGTACTACCGTTACCAGTGCCGTTCGTACGGCGGCCATTGCGATTTATAACTGAAAAAAAAATATAAGCAAAATTTATACTGATTTTTTTTTTTTGCAAACTACATATTTATATACATTTAAACATATTAAGCACATTTGTTTGGTTATAGTATGTACTATATAGGGTGTTTCAAAATGAGCCAAATAGTTCTCTTCTTTGTTACTCAACTGGAGGGCTCTTATTTTATTATTGAAAAGGCGTGTAGAGCTTTTTTTTTAACATTTTAACATTTTAACCCGGCAAGAGAGTGAAAGCTCCTTCTCGTCAACTATGTTCTAAAGCCGCGGCCATTTACGAATTCTAGGGGCTAACAACCCTTGCTTTACGAACTTTTAGTTTATTCAACCGAAACATTTGGACTATTGCGAAACACCCTATATACATATGTAGTTATTTATTTAGTTATACATACTAAGTATGTTTGAAAAAGTTAGCCGCTTTAAAATTTTTTGTTTGTTTACATATATAGTAATAACACTTAGTTTTGATTTTATATTAGTTTATAGTTTATACGTATGTAGATGTTTTTTGTTTTACTAAAAGGAAAAGCAATCACGGACTTAAAGTACAACTATACTTAATATACGAAATTTATTACTTGGGGCAGGGGTTTCAGGCTTTTTCGCAACTTACTTGTTTCAATATTAATAATTATAGCTATTAGACCTATTATGTGAGCTTTTTGTAATGGATTTAAAAACCAGTGACATTTCAGAAATAAAAATTTACATTTACTTTTCAATTAATAATATATGTTATAAAATTAAAGGAAAGAAAATACCAGGCAAAGATGGGAGACGTTTCATTATTTAAAGAGAATCATTCATATCAAATAATCGTTTTATATATATCGAAAAAAATATCGATTTCAGTTTCTTGAGAGAGATAAATAATGTAGCCTAATTGATAATTGTTCATTGGATAAGACTATGTACATAGTAATTTCCCATAGATTTTGAGTCGCTGAATAAGAATTGCTCTATAAGATTTTTTGTTTTTAACATTTAAACATAAAATTGTCTATCTTCGAGGTTACGTAACATTTCGGATTTCATGTTCTTTTAGAAAGTGCACATATATAATAAAAAATTATATATCGTTACCTAAGGGCGAAAAAAATGTGTCAAGTCCATCTTTTTAAATTGTTCAGGAGAGACGAAAAATCGATGCCCTTTCGTATTACCTGCCATTCAGCATCAAAAACTAATTTTTGAAAAAAAAAACGAACTTGGCACCTTTTCACCTTTAGGCCAAATGCCCTGAACTGAACTCTGAGTTTATAGAAAGAGTGAAGCATACAGTAGTCCGACTGATTTTCCTTTATACTTTATTCCTTCGTAGCCCGGTGGCAACAGGTCAGCAGCCGCTGCGGTAAAATGTTCAATGAGATCCTGCCCGAAGGATGTTTTCCACATTCTTCTTGGTTTATTACCTATAGATGTCTTTATCGACAACTCAGCTGCTCAGTGACATCAGCCTGCCTGCGTTGGGGCGCTGAAAGACAATACGGTTCACGGGCACGGTTCTATCCCAGACGCATTACCGCCTGAAATAAAAGCGCTACCCATTAAAGCCGCCAAATGGCTGCAGATTGCACGTGTTGCGGAATCAAAATGACAAACTTGCTAGTTGCTTGCCACCAGGGTGACAATCCACTTAAACCAACCCACAAGTTCGGTGGCCAAATACAAGATAATAAACATTTTAATAAACTTCAAAGGAAAGTAAGGAAGTAAGGCTTTTCTCTCGGGCATGGTATTTATATACATACATACAAAAAATAAATACAAGTGAATATGAAATCAAAAGGAATTTTAAATAAAAAATGTCACTGGTTAGATACACTGGTGACCTTTCGATAAACACTTAAACAACACACAAAACCTTCAAATACTTACGGTTTACATCCTCTCTATCGCGTGTCATGTCACCTAGTTAATCACCACCCAAGCAATAAAAAATATATACAGAAAAAAAATATATATTTTAGAAAAATAGGCATTTGTTATTTTTGCGGTGATTATTTAGTTAGTTCGAAAAGAAAGGTAAATTTTTCAAACATTTTTGTACGCGTGTGTGTATATAATTTAGTGTTTTCTTTGTGCGACACACATAGACAGTATATATTTATGTAAGTTGTTAAAAATTAGCTTGTGCTAAGGACATCTGTACTAATTTTGTACTAAATATAGCAACTAAGTACTTAGATCACAACAGCGCTATATCAGTTCTTTTTTTGTTGCTTTACGAAGTGCTAATATTAAATATTTGATTCTTCGTTTTGCAAGTTAGCGCGTGTGTGGCCGTAAACACTGATGGGTTTGTTGTTTTTTGTTGTAGTTTTTAGAATAATAGCAACATACATTTTACAACTACACTTTGTCTATGGACTGACAAAAATTTTATAGTACTTTTAAAAGACTATTTTTCTTTTCAAATAGCAGAGAAATTGCGACACAAACGAGTCTAGTTTTGAACTATTGCGATTCGAATTAAGTATGATTACAGTTATAGAAGAGAGAAGAAGTGAAATGTCAAAAGAAGCAAGGTTACAAGTATTTGGGAAATATTAACAAAAAAAGAAAAAAAATCTTACAAAAGAAATTTTATGAATAGTCGATTTGAGTAGTGTAACTATTTAGTTTATATGTATGTACATACACAGATGAATGCAAATTCAACGTATACAAGTTATATTTTAGTAAAAAAAAGCGAATAACAAGCATATTTTAGGGTTTCAGAAATTCACTTAAGATAATTACTTAGTTTATTTCAAATATAATAGAATAAGTATACTGGCACGAGTACGAATGATGTAGTTACAAATATATAGTAGTGATTGAACGAGTAAGTATCACGTCTAAAATAGAAATTCCGACCACTAATGATTCGTATTTATTTTTTTTTTTTTTTTTGTATTAGTAAATAGACACATACGAGTGAACGTAGTAGACAGGTAATTATTTTAGTATGAAAGTAACTGATTTACATAATAAAATAACACCAGATACAACTTACAGTAACTAAAAAACAGCAGGTAACAGTAAGAAATACTTTAAATCCATATAGTATGTAACTAACGGTATTTGATTTTCTTTTAAATTTAAGGTGATATGCACTTATAGGATATTAAAAAAAAAAAAAAAATTGTTTTGTGGGTAGTTCGCATACTAAATATAACAAAAAAACAAGGAAAACACATCGTTTAGCAAAAAAAAAGTTAATAATGTTCAAGAGCTTATCTGCTTGAATATTCCTGAAAACTCGATTCTTCGACTTAAGTTCCATTTATTTGAACTGTACGTGTATATGTATGTTTGTAAGTTTAAATGTTAAAAAAAAAATAATATATCTTACTGAGAAAATTGCGAAAAATTTAATAGTTGTGAAAATTTACAATTGGTTCAAGTTATTCCGCACACCAGCTTTAAGGCCTGTATGCAGCTCTCAAGAAAAGCCAAAACTCCATATAAAATGACGTACAAGAAATGGCTAATAAATTTTCTTGAGTCAAATTTCCTTAAGGCAGTACGCAGTTCTTAAGAAATTTACTACGCTTTCTACTACGGTTTTCTAAGGTTTTTTGTGAAAAAAGAGCACAAGGCAACCCAGGTTTGCAACAGAAATATATGCCCGTTCCATTATTTCTTGAGGAAAGAGTGAGGCAACAGGCTGTGAGGTACCAAAAATGTCAAAATTTCTTGGACACACACGCGAAATAATGGCAATTTTTTCTTGACCGTTTTCTTGAGAGCTGCATACAGGGCTTTACAGCGCATACAAACTCATTTCCTCTTAACAGATCTACAGTGTAAACCAGGTCTACAGCGCTAATCAGCTCTACAGCAGCGATGAGCAGAAAGAGCTTTTGCTCGGCACGCGGTCATACAAAATGTATAGAAAGCTTAAAAGAGCTTTGCCCGCGGGCAAGACAGTGCCCACCAGTGCTCTACAGCGTCCATCAGCTCTTCAGCGCATACCAACTATATTCCTCTTAACGAAAACTTCCATGACAGTACCTCTCGTTGCAAACTAATTATAAACACCACACTCTTCTCCCCTTCTCAAGAAGTGACCTTATAAGTTCCACCAGTGGCCATTCCCATCGCACGAAAACTGACAATGCTGAGTATCAAAAGGCCTCCCTTTTCACGTGGCCGGCACTGTTTTATCTATTTTGTTATCCGCACGGTGCTGGCAAATAACAGCGCGGCAATATTTAAAGGTCCTTCGTGTGGAAGGGATTATACAAATTCTAAGCTATATATCCTACACCACTGATTGTTTAGATCTATTTTTTTTTTATATAACTCCTCAATGTATGTAGTGAATATAACCGTTTTTTTGGGAGCCCAAATAATTATTTTGAAATACAGTAATCGGTGGAAGTAAAACTTTCATGCCCTTTGGCCCGACTTACGACTTTTTACCCAGACTAGCGCGGATGTAGGAAGCGTAATTAAATACATGGGAGTACATATTTTCCTAATTGCATTTCAAAGAGAATTGATTGGAATTCAAAATGATTTTTTTGTATTAAATTTAACTAGAGTTTGAGAAATTATAAAACTGTAATTGTTTTTCTGGCGATTTGTATCGATGCTACTCGCGAGAATTTGCATCCCTACCAAAAGTAAGAAAATATATGTATATACATATAGACGTGGGATCCTTTAATGTGAAATGAACATGCTGCAAAATGAATGCTTGAGTCTGCCGCACACTGGTTTAATTTATTTTAGATAAATATACATACATACTTATTTATGTCAATGTCAAAATATCTCTGTATGGAAGATTTTGAATAGCACATAAAATTTTTTTACAGTAATTTAAGAAACTAATTTAGGATGCTAAGAAACTTTTTTTGTTATTGTAAGCTACAATATTTTCACGTTCTTTATACCAATTAATTAAAATTGAAAACTGGCGGTATTAAAAGGCAATTACTAATAGTTTATCATAAGCATGGAATTACGAATTCTTCGAAAATTATCTTGCAATTATATTTTCTTCTTTAAAAGTGACTTTGAGAGTGAAGTTGAAATATCGATCATTAAAAAATACAATACTAAAATGGAGATATTACCTGGTATAGAGATAAGAAAAATTGTACAATTAAATACAACTCGGCAAGAAAATAAAATAAAAAGTATCACTTCCAAAGATAATTTTTTTTTAATTTTTTCAGCAATCACAAAAGTTTAGAACTAAAAATAAGAGTGATCGCTTTCCTTTAACAGTTGTTGAAATAAAAACCACAACTAAAAAAAACCATATTTTTTTATGTACATAGTAAAATTCTTTCTTCATGCCATTTTTATATACACAATGTATTTTCTTTTTCAAATATTTCTTGCATTATATTCTGTTGTGATTTCGTTTGAACGCATGTTGAAAAAATCCCTTTTCCTTCCTTTCAAATAAATGTGTAAATATTTTTATTTATGATTTCAGTTTGCATGAAGAAAAATGATACAGTTTATGAAAAATGAGCTGATACTTTTTTATGTTGTTTTTTTTTTTTCAGTGGACGTGAACAAAAGATGTTTTCGAAAACGCCAAGTATGTATGTATTTATGTATGGACTTATTGTATGTATGTGGTATATATTGTTTAATTTTATTACCCGTTACTGATCCGCGCACATGCACCCGCTTGGGCAGCTCTGGCGGCGTAAATGTGGGCGCTGGATGGAATTCATCTGTAAGATATTCACTAATCAGCAAACTCAGGCAAAAATTATGGTTTGTGTTGTAATTTTTATTTTATTCTTTCTTGTGATTCTACTCGTAGTTTATGTGTTTTTTATTTTTATTTTTATTTTTATTTTTGATATACAAATTCAATGAGTTAGCAAATAGTTTAGGGTATGTGGGTGTGAGCGTTTTCGTTTACGTTACTACATGTTTCTTTTGTGTTTCTTGTTTAGTTTCGCTTGATTGGCTTTGAATTTATATTTTGATAAGATGAAATAAAAATTTTTGGATTCAAAGAATTTTTTTATGTTAAAATATAATATATTTAAAAAATATATCCTTGTATATAACCACTGTTGTTGGGATTGGATAACAAAACAAAATATCAGAAGAACAAAATGATAAACTGGTTGAGTTAACTTTAATGGAAAATAAAACAATCAACGAATTGAAGTAAAGGTAAAAAAATCAACTCCTATAAGCCTTGGTTTGAAAACGAAACTCATTACTACTTTTTTAGATCATACCAATATAAGTAGTATGTACATTAGGGTGCATCACTCTCCATAAAAAAGTCGGTACAGTTTTCTTTGTCTGAATTATAAAATGTATTAAATTTAAAGATTTCTGCCAAAATATTATGCGAAAATATTAAATTGTATGTTCAAACATTTTTATGCAGATCTTTTAGGATTCATTCATCTGATGAAATTTTTTTTGAAAAACTATTTTTCAAATCAGTCCAACTCATGTAAATCTTAATATTTTTTTTTAATTCTAGTGGAAAACCACGACTTTATTTGGTGGGGCACCCTAATGTGCATATATTATCACAATAAAGTACTTCAAAAACATAATTAAAAATATGGATTGCTTTGAGTTTGTAATGCCAGAGAGGCATTAAGAATTTTTGTATGACTCGGTGTTTCATATGCCAGTCATCCAACCAGGAATCAGAGAATGGTAGTAAATTAACAGTTTTCCATAAATAAGGTTTTATCGTACTTATGTCGCGACTTTTGGCTGTGATCGGATACTAAGAGTAGCGCAAGGGATGTTTTCCAAAGATTTACTATGATTGTTATGCCTTTGCATTGCTCTCTAAACAGGGCAATTCTGGCTAAGATAGTTACAACTCTTTTGTGCAATAACTGTAAGACAGTAGGCAAGATATGTATTTTGAAAGATTATGTTTATTCTGGGGCACGAATATCTTACAAAAAAAGCTTCCTTGCTAACTTTCATGGTGAAAAGCTCTTTTTGAGGAAAGCACTTGAGCATGTTCCAAATGTACATATTTTGCTCGCGCTGCTCCAACAGTCGCAATGCCCGAGTGAGCAAAGCACTTGCGTGCCATTCGAAAGAAACGATGTTCGAATCGCCAGGAATTTTACTTTTTTATTTAATAAAGAAACTATTTTTCTTAAAATTTTTAGATAAGGTTCATTGTTTCAAATAGAAAAATATATATTTGTTTGACTACACTTAATTTTTAGAAACTTTTTTTGAAAACAACTTCCTTTAATTTTTATATTTTATTGTTTTAATAACAAAAATATTTTTTCGATTTGATTAAATTTTTAGAAACTTTTTTTGTAATATTGTGTTTCTGAAATTTTAGATTTATTGTTTTAAAATATTTTTTTTTATTTCATTTTATTTTTAGGATTTTTTTGTTTTATCGTTTTTTTCTAATTCATTGTTATAATTTTAACGTTTTATAGTTTTAAAAAGAAAAATATTGTTTTATTTTAATGAAATTTTTAGAAACGTTTTTTTAATTTATTATGGAACGAATTTCCGTCCGTGTCACGAAAAATGACACTGAAGATGGCACAACGCCGAAACCGGTTTGCCTCCAAACCAAATTTGACAAGGGATGACGGAAATTCGTTCCATAATACATCATACACCCACCCTGTCGGAAACAACAACAACCAAAAAGGAAAGTTTTTTAATTCCTGTTTTTCTTTTTTAAATTAAATTTTCTTTTAATTTTTAGATTTTATTGTTTTAAATACAAAAATATTATTTTAATTTCATTTAATTTTTAACAATTTATTGTATTTTTGCTTTTTATAATAAATTTTTTAGGTTTTAGTGTTTGAAAAATAAAGTTGTTTTTTAAATTTAACTTTTAAATTTCATTGTTTTAAAAAGAAAAAAATATATTTGTATACTTTCAGTTAATTTTAAGAAACGCTTTCTCTTTTTTAATGTTAATTACTTTTAATTTTTAGATTGTTTTAAAAATATTTTTTTAACTTAATCAAAGTTTTGATTTTTTTTTAAATTTCATTGTTTAAAAAAAAAATATTTTTAATGTAATCAAATTTTCAGGAACTTATGTTATTTTATCTTTTTTCTTTTTTATTGTTATATTTTTTACTTTTTAATTTATTTCAATAATTCTTAGATTCTATTGTTTTAAATAGAGAAATAATGTTTTGCTTTAGTTAAGGTTTTACGAAATTGGTTTAGTTTTTTTTTTTAGATAATTACGTTTTCTTTTAATCTATAGATTTATTATTTTAGAAGAATATTTTTCGATTTCATTTAGTTTTTAGGAAAATATTGTATATTATTAACTATTTTTTTTGTTTTTTTTTTTAATTGCAATAGTTATGTATATTTTACTGTTTGAAAAACAATATATTCTTCAAATTGAATTAAATTTTAAAAACCTTTTTTTTAATTTAATTTTCTTTTAGTTTTTAGATTTTGTTGTTTTAAAAATCATTTTTATTAATTTTATTTTTAGTCACTTATTTTATTTTATTTTTTCTTTTTTTCAATGTTTTTTGTTTTTTGTTTTTGTATTTAATTTTTAAAGCTTATTAAAAAAAGTAAATATTCTTTTAATTCATTTAACTTTTATAAACCTTTTTAAATAATAAATTTTAAAATATTTTTTTTTTGTGAAAAGTTTTTGCATTTATTATTTTAGAAAGAAAAATATATTTTTTATTAAAATAAATTGTTTAGAAAACTTATTGTTAACAGAGAAACTGAATAGCGAACGCTAAGACCTCCTCGCTAGCAGATCCCACGTGCTAGAAGATAGTTGCCAGAATTGGCAGTTGTCTTAGGAAAGACTTTTGACTGAAGGGCGCAGAGTGGTTAGATGGCATCAAAATCTACGACTCATCTGTTTAAGGCAGAAAAAAATATATAAAATTTTTTAGCGCCGCATTTTTAAGAGATCTATTTTAGCGGAATTGCAAAATTAAGTAAACGTCTTTTGCTCGGGTTCATTAAATTTACGAACTCATTGAAGTGTACGAGAAGTTGGAGCTCGAATTGCAAGCCTATCTAAGTTGACATCTCAACTTATTGCTGGTATAGAATTTATCGCTTAAAACTAAATAATTGAAAACTATATACTAAATAAAAATATGTTTATGATTATATATACCAAACCTAAACTTATCTTGTAACTTAAATAACATGAAAAAGAGTTCAATCATAAATTAATAAGGAGAAAGAAACAAAAAGGGTTTTATTTTTTTTTTTTTTAATATGGTAGAATTAAGACTTCAAGTGTTTAAGAAGGATATTTTAAGGATTTCAAAGTAGTTGTTTTTTTTTTGGAATAGTCAATCTTTGAAAAGTAAATATATTTTGCATGCTTAATTCAATATAAATACATAAATATTGTTTTCATGAAAGGTGTTTGTGTAGTCATTATAAATAGAAAGATATTTTGTGGGACTTAGACGATTAAAGCATTGGAATTCAAAAAAAGAAGCGATACAAACGTATTGGTCTAAATACAGATGCTTACAAGCGGAGAGTGGAAAGTGAAACTGCAGGCAACAAGCAAACAAACTAACAATTTTTCGATTTCGATTTTCGACTATTAAATAACAAAAAATGAATGGATTTATTCAACATGCAATGCTACAATATTTGTTGCTATTTATTTGTTTGTACTTAGTGTCAGGAAGTGGTTGACAAGCGAACTAAAAATAATGCTGACGACGATTAACAAATGGCGACTTAACTGCAACTACAAAATGCGTGTAAATACATATGTATGTAAGTACGTTTGTTTAACTTAAAGAAATTAGCTAATTGTTTGTATGGATTGTTTTTTATTATTGAGTGGAAGTAATAGAAAATAGATCTATTTATGCATAAACATTTTATGGTATCGGTGAAATCATTGCTATTCTATGTATATATTTACATACGAGGCATTTTCAAAAAGGCTGTCATAACTCAGGGATTTCTCAGAAGGCGCGTTTAAAGTTTTCAATTTGCTTCTAAAACGTTTTTAGACAATATGAAGTGCCACCAAACGAGTAATTTAAAAAATTTGCTTTTTTCAGTTATGCCAGTCTTTTAGCTAATATGCACGATATGTGTAATAGTGAGTGCGCTGATGGTGCTTGAAAAGCAAAAGCAGAAAAGTTAGCTTTGGCGCATTTTTTTTTGATCTACCATTTTACTCTATAATTAACCTTTTTAAGAAGTTTTGTAGTGAAAATTTTGACTAAGAGTAGAACTCCACAACAGATTTGTGAGATGATCATCAGGGTTTAGGGTTCAGCAGCAGGTTACTCAAATACACGCTGAGAACCAGAAAAGCGCGGAACGCATGAAAAATTTGCTGTGACGTCTACTTTAAATGTTTTATTAATGAAAAGAATTAGATATTGTTGAAATGGTGGTTATGGTTGTCACCTTCATTTCTGCTTCTACATTTTCAGTTAGCTCGCTTCCTTATCTTTACTTTCGCAGAAATTTAAAGCAATTTTCTAAACGAGCAAACTAACTGTATACTAGTTGCATTTAAGAATAAAAACTAATTTTTTTTTATCAAACTAGATACATACATACATACTAGGTATAGAAAAAACCATACGTAGCCACTAGAAACACTATAATATCACGTACAAATATATACATATATAAACCAATTTTTAACAATCTATTCTATTAAATATAAATATTATATTTTAATAATTATGCATAACTCATCTAATTTCTAGCTAATTAAGAA